GAACCTTGCAACTATTGAGAAGGAGTTTTCAAATCTTTCAAAACTCTTTATCCCTTATCATAGTTTTCTTAAAATGCTAAACATTTCAAAGTACTCAATGATTAAATTGAGGGGAAGTATTTCTACAAGCAAATTTTGCTCAAAGTTTTGTTATATCAAAAAGGAAGAGATTCATAGCTTTATTAGTTTTAAAGTAATTATAGTTTTGAAATGACAAAAATAGTCAAAATTACTTGAATGAGTTTTAGAATTGCTTGAATAAGTTTTAAAATTGCTTGAATAAGTTTTGAACTTGTTTAAATATGTTTTAAACCTCTACATTTGCTTTTGAATTGTCCTTATATTTGGCATCAAATTGGGTTAAGAAAGAAGCATTTTCTATGTTTTAAACTACAAGTATCAATAACTTGGTATTAGGTATTAATACATTTTACACAGAATACTTCTAGATGCTAAGTATGGATACCTACCTTAAAGGTATGGATACTTGCCTTAAAAGTATCAATACCAAGTGCAAAATATTGATACCTTTACCATGGTATCAATCATAATGAATGAGGTATTGACACTTAGGGTCTAGAACTAACTATTAGATAAGGAAATCAAAGAAAAAATGACTAATTTCTTCACCAAACCTTCTACTACTATAAAAAAGACTTCTAGAACATATTTTAAAGGTTAGAAGAGTGGAGAAAAGCATCAAATCATCAAGTATCAAATCCAATGAAGAAAAAGAAAAGAAAGAAAGAAAAACCAAGTTAGAGTAGTAATTTAGATTCTTCCACTTAGCTTTTAAGCTATATTTGAACTTCAAATTCTTAGTGCTTTCATTCCTATTCATTGTATACACCTTTGTACCAATCGTGCTCTTCCAACTTTGTTAATGCAACAAGCTCAATATGTGAAGTCCAATAAGGGGTGAATTGGCTTCTTTTAAATTCTTTGCAAATTTAATGAAAATAAAATTTTTTGTGTCTCTTTAAAAAACAATTTGAGCAGTGAAAGCTTTTGTTTAAATCAAGTTTAAAATATTAAGAACTTCGAAAAGAAAAGAAGAGATAAGAACATAAGTATTTTTATAGAGGTTAGGCTTCTTTACCTACATCCTTTCCCTTAGCTCACAAAAGAGTTTTGAATCCACTATCACAAAAGCCTTTTCACATTATAGAACAACCTTTACAATAATCTTTTCATGGATAAGATTTAACCTTTCTACCTTTTCATTTTGTTTAGATATAACCAAACACTACTACCTTTTAGTGGTTAAGGTATACACTTGAGATGCTTACAGAAATGAAGTGTAAAGAGCTGAGATGCCTTGTAAAAAGTGATTAGCTAAGTGGATACAAAAGCTTCTCAAATGCGTACAAAAAGTAGATAGAACTTAAAGCTTTATTGAATAGAAGAGAGAAGAAATTTAAAACTTGTGAAAAAGAAAATAGTGATTTTGAATTGTTAGAGTGATTCTCTTTCTTTTGGAATATTTTCTGCAGCTTTTCATAGTCATAAATGTTCTGGAGACCTCATTTTATACCCTTAAAACAAATAAGAGTCATTAGGTCTTCATTTAATGCAAAAATAGCTGTTGGACATACCTGTTAGACAAAAGTTCATGATACTTGGCTTGAGGTTTTCATACTTTTTGTCTGAAAATTTCCAAGTCTCGATACTTTCAATAGAAGTCTCGTTACTTGCTTCAAATTGCCTTTCTCTCTTTGAGTGATGTCTCGATACTTCTCCATAGGTCTCAGTACTTGTTTCTTTGTTTCCATTAGTTAGCTCTCAAGGTAACTCGTGTCTCCATATGCCAGGGACAAGTCTTAATACTTTTTGATATATTTCTGTCCAATGTGTTTTGCTTGGTCAAGTCTCGATATTAAAAGGCCAACTCTTGATACTTTCGGGTTTTTTTTTTTTATTAAATGAGCTTTGCTTGGTCAAGTCTCAATACTTCAAGGTCATGTTTTGATACTTTTTGTCTTTTTGTCTACCATATTAGCTTTGCCTAGTCAAGTTTCAATACTTCAAAGGCATGTCTTGATACTTAACACTTGAGCCTTTGTTAATTTTCTCCCAGATTGGCTAGGTCTCAATACTTTTATAGGAAGTCTCAATGCCTGCCTTGAGAGCTTGTTTTAAGGTCTTTTTAAGCTTTTCAAATTGTCAAACAATTAGCCAAAATTTCATATAGAAATACAAGAAGTTTAAAAGTGTTTTAAACGTCTTCAATTTGCATTCTTGATCATTTGATTTTGTCATTTCAAAATAGGATCAATTGTATGCTACCAAACTTTGTACTTACTTAGCAAAACCCACCTTCTATAGGTATGTTGGCTTCAATCTTGTAAAAGAGAAAAGGGTTATACCTTAAACTTCAAAAGGTAGTATTTAAAGGTTGTGCTTGAACCTTGAAAAGGCATTGGTTGTGCTTGATCCTTGAAAAGGCAATGGTTATCCTTGAACCTTTAAAAGACATTGTATTGAATTTATTCAAAAGTGAATTAAACTCCGTAGCTTGTTAAAGAAGAGGACATAGGCACCAAATAAAGGCTGAATTGTTAGCTTTAAAATTAATAGCTTTGATTATGACAAAATGATCAAATTTGCTTGAACATTATTTGAGTAATCCTTGACAATTTCTTGAAATGATTTAACTCCCATACATTTGTTCTTACATTGACACAAGCTTGACTTTTGAAGTTATTGAGCTATATCTATATGCTTATACGATTTAGCTGTATCAGTGCTTATGATTCTCATTCATTAAGTCAAATTTAAAGATTAAAAGAAAATCTGGATGCACTCATTAAAGGGGAGTTTTGAATATCTTGTTTAATTATGAAAAAGAAAACGAAAGAAAAAAGACTAAGTTAAATAGAGTTTAATAGGTCTTCATGTTTAATTTATTTGTGTGATGCTTAGTTATGGTTTTTTGAATATTATGTGCTAGTTATTATAGATATTCAATATATCTTGATAGCTATTGTGGATATTATATATCTTGTTTAGCTAATGTGGATATTATAAATATTTTATTGCAACTCTTTAAAGAAAACTAGATGTATTCACTAAAGGGGAGCACCTTATTATACATAAAGGTTTGAAGAATTCGTATTGAACATAGACATTGCACTCTTAATTTAGGAGTGTTTTGTCACCATAAAAAATAAGAGATAGAGAATGTTAACTCTATATGTTTTTTATGATAGCAAAATATTCCCATTCATTGGTGTCTAATTATATTATTTAAGTGTGTAGGAGAAAGCTTAAATTCATCAATATATTAGGTATCTGAAAGCAAGTCAAGATGCTTGTTCAGTTGCAAGATGGGTTAATTGGTTAAACAAGCAAAGAAGAAAGAGCTTTAATGAAGATAGATTAGTCTTAACTAATTAATACAAATATTTAATCAATTAAAGCAATTCAGGGCACTACATTAGGGACAAATAGACAAGTCATAACTGGTTAACACAAGGTTTAATCAGTTAAGTGGGTATTGGATGCAAACAAAAGCCTCTTAATGGGTTAATCAAGGGAGTTAGTTTGTTAAAATTCAAAAGTGAAGATCCAAATAAAGGCAGTCAAATTTGTGAATAACAATTCAAGAAGTCTCGAATGACTAACATATCTCATGGATGTTGAAAGGAAATATAAGATTAGCGTTACCAAGCTAAGAGAAAAATTAATCAAATAAAGAAAAGTTGGTGAAGTTGGTTGCTTTAGAAACAGTAAGCTCTTAATCGATTAAAGTCTTTCTTAACCGATTAACAGAGTAAAGAAGACTACGAGGTATAAAAGATTTAATCAACTAAGAAGTATGGTTAACCAACTTAAAGCCCATTGTCATAAAATTTGAATATAAGTAAAAAAGGATAAAATAATGTTAAAAAATGGCTAGTCTCTGTTTGTAATGGCCAAAAGTGAATTTTTAAGTATTTAAAGCCTCTCCAATAGTCAAAAATCATATATAGAAGCCATCCAAAGTGAGTTTGAGCTTAGAAGATCAAAAACCTTCTCTTTACACTTGTATTTCACTCTTATCCTTTGAAAAAGTATTTAAGCTTAACTTTGTACATCTTATATTAGTTAGGTGATTAATTATACTTCATTTTTTCTCTATTTCTTGTTTACTTAAAGTGTGAGAAAACTTTAAGGGGTAGATCAAGCTTGTGTTAGCTTGGTTATTGTTATAGGTCCTAAGTTAGCCTTCGAAAGTTAGTTTTGGTTTTAGTTGATCTTGAGAAAAATCATTGTTAAAGGTTGTGGTTGAGCCTGTGAAAAAGCATTGTAAAAGCTTGGGAAATTGACTGATTTTAGTGAATCTGTTTGAGAATCCTTGATTGGGAGATCAAGGTAGTGAATTTTTATCAAAAGGGCCAAACCACTATAAATCATTGTGTTTTGTCTACTTTCTTTTATTTTATTCTTACTCTTAGCAATTAAATCATTCCTCCAGCAAGCTTTAATCTTCCATTTTCAAATTCCTTTAATCAACTCTTTACTTGGAAAGAATTTTCATGTCATTCCAAAAGTTCTATTCAACCCCCCTCTAGCACACTTTTTAGGACCAACAAGAACCTTTATAAATTCCTTGTGCATTTTCTCTTTACTCCCCATTATTTATATTTGTACATTTTACTTTACTTTGAAGTGTTTTAAAAATTTGTTCTTAACTTGTTTATTCTTTAATTTACTTTTCAAATCACTTTTGGCACAGTTTTAAGTTTGTGAAAATTGTTTCTTGCTTGCTTTCATTGGAAATTTACTTTTGAGAAAAGAACTTTTACAAATCCAATTCACTCCCACTCTTGGATATATATTTTCTCATTATTTTTAAGCTAACATTTCTAATAAAAACAACTTAATTTCATATCTTTGATTAAGATTGAGGTTTACTTTTCCCTATGGTTTATATGAAAAACTCTTCCCATTTTGGTTTATCTCCCTCCAGTATCTGCTTATTAAGTTTTTATGGCTCACACATGTAAATTCTATTTCAGATCAATAAGTAGCTTGGTTACCTTATCGTGGAGAAAAGCTCCAAGTCTTTTTTTGGTAAGTGTCTAAGGAAGCTTATTAAAGCCTAAGGTGTCGAGTCATGTTCCGTTGATGACTCTATCTTATTTACTTATGTTAATATGATATTGTACACTTTTATGTTATGTAGCCATGGATTGGCATTATACTTGGCACGGATATTTAATTTTAACGAATGTGATGACTTGTAAGCCTATATGAGCACATAGATTGTGCATATGAATGTTAATAAGAATGAATATATGAAACCACATATGAAATTGTTAATAATGATCAAATGAAATTATATCTACACATTATGTTGTTGAATTCCATAATTGTGAGATAGTACCCATAATTAAGTGTATGAATGACTCTATGATAATGATGTGTATGTGATTGATTAGAGAAAGGCTTTCTTGGGTTTAGTGGGCTTGCTCTACTTGGTCCTTGTGCCAGTCATGGCTTGGAATTGCGTTAAGACATAAGGTACAGTGAAATAAGGACAACAGGAAGTATTTGTATATGGAGCTAATTGCAATGAAGAACTAATATTTGGTGAGAAAAACTATCTAAATTCAAGGATAAATTTGGTAATTATTTTTAAATAACAATAATTATTTACATTTACCACTTTGGAAATAATTATCTAAATAAAATATAATAATAATATATGTTAAAAGAATTAAATCTAAAATATGACTAGATTCATTCTTATCTCTTAAAATCACAATGTTGATCAACAGTATTGTGTTTAGTGATAATTTTTATACTTATCTCTATCGCTATGTGCAAGTCTAAGAACTCGTCCGCCATGATTTGGACATTTTTGAGTCACCACCAATCTTTCTTGGTAAGGTATGATTGGCAACTTATTAAATTTGTTCTCTTTGACACGGTCATAAATTAATTTTAGGCTCATTTAAAAAGAAAAACCTGGTCTGCATGTTTATTGAAGTGAGTTTAGGAGTACAATTACACATAAGGAAGGATTAGCATCTCTTAACGTCCATTTCACAAATAGTACCGTTTAATCATATGTTATCCTCGATAAACCTTAAGTTTTAGTTTTTTATTCCTATGTTTCCTTAATTTTTATTTGTTTCATTAGTTATCAAGTTACTTTAGGTTTTATTCACGATCAAAAAGTTCATTATTAAATCCATGTTTAGTACATTCACGTAATATGCTCATGATGCAGTCATGGTATGCATGGTATAAATCTCATTTAAATGTAAAATGAAGACCTTCTATTGAGAATATTTTCAGAACCCTCCTATCCTACTAGTGAGATTTAGGGTTATTCTCTCTCCTAGGGAATTACTTGAGTAAGTTCGCCTCTTCAAGGTTATCAAGCAAATCCCATCATTGAGGTAATCATTTGCAAATAAATTCTTTTTTAGGCACGATGCAAGCCTTATATACAAATGAAGGCTTTTTATTAAGGACATTTCTCAAATTATTGTATCATACTAGTGAGACCTGAGCATGTTCTTTCACCTAGAAAGTTTCCCGAGAAAACTCACCTCTGCAAGCTTCTCGAAAAGTCCCATTATTATGGCCTTGAATCATATACACAATATATCTAAATGGACACAATGACATATAAATAACGTAATGATGACATATAATAAATTTCAATATTAATCATATATTTTATATTTTTGCTATTATTATTTTCATTTTATTAATATCTTTTTTATTAATATTTTAAAGAAACATTTGTTTGGATTAAAACATTGAGACTTAAGATTAAAAGCCTCCCATCATACTGTTGGAGTTTAAATCAAATCCTTCACTTAAGAAAATTAACCCAAGATTGTGACTTCTCACGTCTTGAGTAAAAATTCCATCTTCGATATAATCCAAATATTATGTTTTATACTATTATGTATTTTATTTTCAAAAGCCTAAAAACTGTACTTCTCTAAAGTATGAATTTTTTTATTTCTACTCTAAGCCAACAACATTCTTTATTTTTTATTAACTAATTTAAAATATTATTTGGATTAGGAAATGTTGAGACCTAAGATTAAAACCCACCTATTGTACAAGTAGAGTTTTAATCAAATCCTTCATCTAAGAAAATTAACTTAAGATTGTGACTTTTGATGTTCGAAGTAAATATTCTATCATTCGTATAACGTAAATAATGTTTTGTACTATTGCATAGTTTATTTTTAGGAGCATAAATATTTTATTTTTCCAAGCATAAATATTTGGTATTTTTATTCTAAGACAACAATATTCTAAATATTTTTTTCTTAATTTAAAATATTATTCGGATTAAGGAATATTGAGACTTAAAATTAAAACTCTTCCATTATACTGGTGAAGTTTTAATCAAATCCCTCACTTAAGAAAATTAAACTGAGATTGCGACATCTCACATCTCGAATAAATATTCTATCTTTGGTCAAATCCAAATAATATATTTTCAATGTTACTTCTTCTTAAAGCATAAATATTCTAGTTTTATAAGTTTGAATATTTTATTCTCTTTCTTTTTTAGGCATCAACATTATATATATTTTTTGCATTAACTAATTCTAAGCATTACTTTTTTTCTTTACTAAGTTATTTATTTCTATTTTTTAATCCTTATATGTGTGTGTGTTTTTATGCCTATGTCCCATATAACAAACTATTTTATTTTATTTTTATAAATGAATTTATTATTATCATACTAATTGAAATAACCAACAAAATAACCTAATCTGTATATAAAAAAAACTGTGCAAATAATCAACTCAAACCCCAAAGCACCAAGAGAAAAAAAAAGGCTTAAGCAAAGCAAAGTCCATATCTAGTTGACCTGATCAAGTCCAAAATCTACTAAACATAGTAACACTAATGCGAGCTTGGAATGACTAGATCTCTTTACACCCACTTTCTTTTCCTTTTCTCACACAGGTGAGAACTGGCCTACTTCCATCTTCTTCTTCTACATATTTTTCTTTTTCTTCTTTCTTTTCTCAAATCAATGGCACCCTATCTCCCTAAGCCTCTCTTAGTACAAGCTAAAGCCGCTATCTCGTTCCTCTGTATACCATCACAAGAAGTGGCACTAACGAAACCCAAAACCTCAGATAAAATGAAACCCAAAGAAAAAACAAACCTCAAAACCCTTCCGCCCAGAGCAACCAAAAACAAATATACCTCTCCCTTGAATAGAGCCTCACTCCCCTTTGCTTGTTTAATTTTTCATTCAAAAGATATTTTTTTTTATGATTTATTCATCGTGTGGTTGTGAGGTAAGTTTTTTTCCATTTTTTGTTAGGCTTTCTTTCCTTGAGGGTCTTCTCTCAAAGAAGTGGAAGGCAACTTTTATAGCTACCCTTTTTTTATTAATTTTTTATTTATTTTCAATTCTTTTATCGTTTGTTTCATAATTTTGATTATTGTTAATTATAAAATTGGCATCTATAGTTGTCATTCTTTATGCATATTCCTTAAAATCAAAGATCGTGCAAAGATGTAAGTACTCAACCTAGTTCAAAATAGGTTTGATTATAACAATTTTGGAATTCCTTGACTTAATCTAAGCTCGATCTATTTCAAAATAGGTTAGATTTGAAAAATTGAAATTTCTAAACTTAATCTAGGCTCAACTTATCCTAAAACAAGTTCAATTTTAAAAAATTGAAATTCTTAGACTTAATTTGAGCTTTATATATGTCAAAACAAATTTGATTTAAATATTTAAAATTCCTTTGACTTAATTCAGACTCGATCTATCTAAAAAAAAGTTTAATTTAAAAAATTTAAATTTCAAGACTTAATATGGGCTTGACCTATTTCAAAACAAGTTCAACTTAAAAATTTGAAATTCTTAGACTTAATTTAGGCTCAACGTATCTTAAAATAGGTTCAATTTAAAATTTTGAAATTCCTAGACTTAATCTAGGTTTGACCTGTCTCAAAACAAGTTCGATTTAAAAATTTGAAATTCCTAAACTTAATCTAGCCTTGGCCTATCTCAAAATAAGTTTGACTTAAAAATTTGAAATTTTTACACTTGATCTAGGCTAGACCTATTTCAAAAAAGGTTGTATTTAAAAATTTGAAATTTCTCGACTTAATTTAGGCTCGATCTATCTCAAAACAGGTTCAATTTACAAAATTTTAAATTCTTCTTTCATGCCAACATAATTAAGCTTAAAATTTGATGCTTGCTAGATTAGGCTTAAATTCTGTCATGTGACAATTTAACTAGACTTAAATTTTCCTGGTGCCAACTAGGTTAGGTTTAATTCTCTCATGTGCCAACTTAATTAGGCTTAAATCACTTGGGTGTGGCTCAATCGGGCTTAATCTCTCTCTCGTGAAAACTTGGCTAAGCTTAAATCATCTCAATGCCAACTAAATTAAGCTTAAACACCATCTTGTGCCAACTTAGCTGGGCTTAAATCTTAACGCCAACTAAACTGGACTTAAATCACCTTATTCCAACTTAATTGGGCTTAAAAATCTTGGTGCCAGCTTAATATGGCTTAGCTCTCTTTATTTGGTGGTTTATGAAATGCAACAAAAGACTTAAATCCTTCTTCCACTTAATTGAGGTTTTGCAACCTTAAAAAAGTTTGAGTCATGTTGACTTTATATGTTTTTAATGTTAACATAACATTCCTTATTCATTAATGTCTAATCTTATTATTTAAGGGTGTAGGATATAGTTTAATTTCCCTAAGAAAATTGGTAATTAAAGGCAAGTCAAGGTGCTTGTTTAGTCTAAGGAAAAGTTAATCAATTGATGTTAGAAAGAAAAAAAGGTTAGTGAAGACAGAACTTTAGTAAATGATTAATGGGAAGCTTCAACCAGTTAAGGCATAACTGGGCATTAGGTTATAGTAAGACAGAGAAGCCTTAATCAGTTAACACCAAGCTTAACTAATAAAGGAGGTGTTGGAAGTTGAAAATAGAGTCACGCTAATTAGTTAAGCAGTTTGTAATTAGTTAAGCAGTTTGGTTAAACAGTTAAAGCACAAGGCCCTAGTACCTTGAAGCGCCAAAATCAAATTTAAAGGAAGGTCGACCGTTGAAGGGAACCAAAATAGAGAAGTTCAAAATTCAAAGATTTTCTAATTGAATAATGTTGATTTTAATCTATTAAGGTTCAAGGAAATGAAGCCTCAAGCAGTTAAGGGAAGAGCTAACCAATTAAAGGAAGACTGCTATGTACAGAAAAATGAAAATAAAAAGTTTGTAATTG